CAAGTACAAAAAAGATATGAAGAAACGAAAAAGACTTTAGAGGAATTTATTAAAAATTCGTACAAGTCTTCGACAAAAATTAGAGAAATAGAAATTAGGATAGGGAAACTTCATCATTTATTGGAAGACGACGAAACCGATGAAGATTTACAAGAGGATTTAAAAGAAGAGGTACAAAAAATAGATACATTAATAATGGAAATAACTGTGGACAATGAACAGGATGCACTAGAAGAAGGTGAAATAGAAAGATTTTATACAATGAAAAGAAGGGTGCGGTCGATCATAAAAGAAAATAAGAGATTAGAGGCGGAAGGATGCAAGAAAGACAAATAGAGCACGTAGTATGTGGAGAAAATTTATGTTTTGCATCCTATTTTTAGTATTTTTAAAGCCATCAAATGCAGATTTGTACAAAATTTATACCCCGTCCCCCGGATTATATTCAGAGCATCTAAGCGATGTATACATAGATCGAGGGATATTTAGAATAAAAACTTATCTAGAAAAGAAAAAAATTTTAGATGGTGAACAAACGATAGATTCAATGGTAAAAACGCTGGAAGATATGTGTAAGACAAGCAATATAATAAATTGTGATTCACTATCGAGCCAGCTAAAAGAGGAACAAGAACGAGCAAAAATGATAAGTCGAGCTTTAGATCTGGAAGTCAAAAGAAGACCGAAGAGGGGTTTTCTAGGAACAGTCCTCACATCAGTATTTGGGGTAAATGATGAAGTATACAGGGATATAGATTCCTTGGACGAAAATCAGAAGGATCTAATAAAAAATTCAAAACATCAGACGAAGCTGATGTTACAAACAATAGCCTCGATTAACTCTACAGAAGAATAAACGGACATCTAAATAGGTTCCGAGAAGCACTGATAAACGGAACTAGGGAAATGTCTAAGGGGCTAAGTGATGTCTCATATAGAGCTGATACATTAGAGAAGGAGTACATACGACTTAAAGTGGAAACGACTTATAACCGTGCAATGGAATATGCAAAAGAATATTCGAACACATACGAAAAAATATTAAATCTTCATTTCAATCATGGACACTTCATAGACATTATAAAACCTGGACAAATAGAGTCAATCATTTCGAATGCTACAAGGTTCCTTCCACAAGGAGTAGATATAAGAAGGCAACCAATAATAGATACGGTCGTACAAAATGAAAAAGGAGACATCGTCATTATTGGCTATTTCCTAATAATTAACAACACTAGATACAACCTACTGAGAGTCACAGCTCTTCCGTTGTCGGTGAGAGGTGGTGTTGTGCGCTCGTTGTTGGTTCCAAGGAATCTACTTGCAGTAGATTACAATAACTTACATTATTTTGAAGTGACATATGAAGAAAAAGGAAGGTGTATAGAATTAAATAAAGGAGAGTTGGCATGTTCACCAATGGGAATCTTACTGTATCAAACTGTATCTTAAATGAATTATATGATAGAACGACCAATACCACTTGCAATATAATAGAATACACGATAAAGGAAGCCAGTTGGTTGAAAATGAGCACACCGAATCTGTGGTTAGTCATTCCACCATACGCTATAAATTTAGCTATAATGTGCGATGGTTCTCGATCTGAACACATAATCGATCAAACGAGTTTTATAAAACTGTCACCAAAATGCGTTGCTCAGACTCGAAACATAACGTTACTCACATCCAGTAACGGATTGGAAACAGCAATTGGAAGCTACTTAAAGACTCCCGTCAGTCCCATTGCAGAGCTTATGCAGAGGCCAATCATAAGGCAGAACAACATTCCAAACATAATATAAATATTCGGGGAGATGAGTTGCCAAATATTATACTTGAGGCAGAGCAGTTTGACCAAGATATATCAGAACACACGTGGAAAACCATTGCTAACCATCAGTGGATTCCTCATTTAACCACGGGACTAGTCACTTTATTCATTGTTATGTTGATTGCCATTACGTGGAAGGTAGTCAGATATTTTCGAAACTCCAAGAGAGTCAGAAAACAAAGGCATCAAGGTTCTTACATCCAACCTCATCCAGCGCCTCGAAGACATACTTCATCACAACCAAATTTAGGTAGTACTTTAAAGAAAGCCCCTCCTAGATCAATTTCACTTAATGAGCTTAGATTTGAATTAGATAGTTTAGCTGAAACATGAATTCTAAATAATCAAATTATAGGTAGCACTGCTCGGGTGAGATAATAATTCAAAAACCGAGTGAATTAGTGTTATGTTTATTATTATTATTATTATTATTTATATTTTATATGTGTTTAAATATTTTCGTCTGTTTGGTTTATATAGTGGCCAATATGTTCAATCACAAATTAACCCCTTAATTTGTAATCTCACATTATTCTTAACTTCTTAATCTTTTATAGTTTCACCGTGTATAAGTTTGCATTATATATATTTCAAAACCATATCGTATGATAATTTAATATTAGTTCATTTACCTACAACTAAATAAATTGCCGAATAATAATATTTTCTAATTGAACTTCGTAAGTGTCGCAATTAAGGCGTAGATTAAATTGTATTATAAGCAAAAGCTAGGTGGTGTGAATGAACGAAGCAATGACCTAAGGTGCTTATGTATCTATTATGTGTGAGATTATAAATTGGGGATTTGAGTTCAAATGAACACAGTCTATATTGAGTAGTTACCGAACGAACACCATATTGTGTAATTACGAGTTGCTGTCAATAAATAATCACCTTTACTCCACAACTTCAACATTTATTAACCCTACCAGCATCGATCGACGAGAAGCGGACAAAGGGGCATACGAACCGAACCGAACTTCATTACTAAGTTCGATATCTTTTCCAGCGCATTTATTATATTTACAAACCTACTGCTTGTCGTTCCAAAATGGAATAGATGCAAGTAATATGATGAACGGTGATTAATGCTTGGAATTTCAAGATTTGACTAGGCCACATGACAGCGTTCTTGTTTATCTTAACTAATTTTCGTATTACGTATTTAAATTGTAAGTTGTATTTTTTTTAAACGGATGATTATAACAACTAACCACTAGTCTAGTGTTCGATTTCGAGATACGTTATAAGTTATTGTTCTAAACAAGTTGTTGGCTCTCTGCCTATAATAAAATACCGCACACTCTCCTATTACCATTTAAAATATGTTGCTGTTTTTGTTAGCTAATTAGCGATAACGCTAACTATAATTTATACACATTTGTACAAGCACGCTTGGCTAAATCGATATCCAATACTGTATAACATAAACATATTTTGCAACACCACCAAATGTTAAATGTTGGACTCCGTAGTCCGTAATTATATCATTAAAAACCAAGGCCGTCTGCCAACAGTCAAAATATCGATTTAACTTTTTAATTTTTTAGCGGATTTTTATCACATGTTCCGTTACGGAAATTATGTTTCTATGGAAACCGATATTGTGATTAATATTTCAGTTTTTATGACACGTATAAACACCAAATACTATTAAAAAGCGTTTTATATTTATACATAATATTTATATTGCCAAACTTTGATATATTTATGGCGAGAGCTCCTAGGGACGGCATTGGAATATTAACGAAGTTAAACGACTGCACTACTTGTGAAAGTATACAAAATATAGCTCCTTCACCATCTCCTTGTGAATTATCACGCTCCAAAGACTTCAGCACATCATCGGAAGATATAAACATCAAAGATACAAGCGACAAAGATGACTCTTTGTCTAACGTTAGTGACAGTGATAGTGAAGAAATAAGTTATGACGATGATTTTGAGCCTTTAGAAGCAGACGATGATGATAAAGTACATGAAGATGTTCGAAGCATTAGTTCACAAAGTCAAAGTTCGTTCTGCGCGTCTACTACAATAAAACTTCAAAATAGAACATTCCCCGATTCAGAGATAAGAGAGATTGAACGTCAAAATGACATTTTGATGAAGAAAATTCTATCGAATAATAGAAGACCAAATCAATATAAACCAAAGTCTACTGACTTCAGATTGCCTTCCAGTGCAGCTGTTAACCGTAAACGACAAGAAGCAAAAATTGCTCGAGAAAATCAAATTTTATTAAGGAAAATTCAAACTGTTAAGTCTTCTTTTCAGAAATAAAATGCTATTAGTATTACTCATATTGTTTTTTTAATAGACTATATTTGGAAAGGTAAGTTTAGTACTAGTTTTATGATATATTTGTGTTAAGGTCAACATCCATGGCTCTCGAAGGTATCCGATTTTGAAAAAGACGCGGGGATGATCTTGAAGTAAAAGTTATATTTACAATAGGCTAATAATCCAGTGATAATCATTTGTGAACTACATGATTTTAAATTTAAATATACCTACTTAAATGTAAAACTATTACATTTATAAACTATGACATATTACTATAATATTTAATAATTAATCTAAAGAATACCGCGGTGCATATAAAAATAATTTTCATTCAAGATTCTTAGATTGAAGTGTAAGTGTAAAGTTAATTGCATACTTTCGGACAAAACCGTAATATTTAAAGTATTATGCACTGTAAAATATTTTTATCTATCATTTTTTTTTAAACAAAAGGTCAAGTATTAGTATCTTTTATAGATGATTCAAGATTAGAACAACAGCAACCATTGTTAACTTTCCTAAAAGAAGTCGGTATCCGAAGAAAAACTATAAACCCAAGTATTATGCTATAATCTTACTAAAATTAACTACTCTATTAATTAAAATCATTGCTACTGTTACCGAATTTTACATTTAAAAACACCTTCATATTATTATGGACATAAAATGAGATAGTGTATATTGAGTTGCATACTTCAAGGAAATTATTTTTCGACTATAAAACCGCTTTTTACTTAAATCATTGTTAAATATGACAATCGTCCGGTTTATTTTTATGTTCATATAAAATATTTGCCGTAATAATTCAAAGACTGAAGACTGAAAATGAGTTGTTCTTGGAAATGGTAAGAAGACCCGTTCACACCACTACAACAACATCGTATTCTAAAACTGTCAACCTCAACCTTGACAGTTTCAGAGCAAGTGGTGAAATGTCAGGATAAAAATTATAAAAAATATTATGATAATAAGTTTTGGCTCTAATTTATTTGTATATTTTATAAAAAGTTTTGTACTGCGATAATCTTACATAAGAATGCACGGAAGGGGCCTTATTTTTTGGATAGTTTTTAACATTTACCTCAAATATGTATCATCAATTGAATACAGTATTCCCCAACCTTCAGATACGGCCAGGACTAGCAATGAAAATTATAGAAGTAGTTATTATTCGGGAAGTGCCTCTTCAATTTTCGAAGGTAAGTTAAGTAATTTCCATAAAACTCACAATAAAGGGCTTTTATTTTAGGAAATTTTGATACCTGCAATGAGGAAGATTTTGCATGCTTAGCGATGGCTCAAAAGGACAGACTAGGACTTGAAGCTATAAAACAATTGCACAAGCAATTGGACGACGATAAAGATGGTACGATAGATCTATCAGAATCTGATGATGTAAGTACATAAAAGGTTCAATATTATAATTATATTCACTTTTAAAGCTGACAATAAATATTCATAGTGATAATTAGTGCTATATATATATATATATATATATATATATATATATATATATATATATATATATATATATATATGGGTTCAGGTGTTAATTTTACCTCCCATGAGAGTGTATTTAGGAAACAGTATCATTAATAATAAAAAATACAGCTTTTACATATGAAACTATCATTCATCAGTAAAAGGTAATGCAAACTGGCCAAATATAAGATGTATTTAAAACATTAATGTTTTTTATTTTGAGAATAATTTCCGAAGTGAAATCGAAACATCAAATAAACTTAATGTTAAAGTAAAATTGTGGCTTATTCCCAACTAAAATAGTCAATTCCATGTACTTATATCAATATTTAATACACCTTTTATATTCAGATGTGTGAATGGTGTTCTAGTTCTTCCATTTTATTAAATTGGTATATGCATTTTTAATCTTCCTAAAAATCATCAGAGTTAATGTAATTACTAATATTGAATACTATACAAATAATCTTGGTGTTTTTAGGTTTTAGCAATTTTTATACTCAGCTTAGACTTATATTTAAAACTATTTTTATCACCATCAAATATTATCTCTAAAAGATGATAAGCCAATCTTAAATTACAATTTTAATTGATTAACTGAATGGGATAAGAGAAACTCTTTGTTAATATCCAGCTTTTGCCAAATTTATTTGCTTCATCGGGATATGCTAAAATAATTTTAAAATTATTTTTTCAGTAAATACAATAAAATTAAGATGAAAGAAACTTGTATAAAACAATCATAAAAACTCACATGAGGCTACTCCATACAGTTTTTAACTTTATCACAAAACATTAAAATTCTTAGTTTACCAACAATTACAATGTTTTAATCTTATTTAATTTGAAGAAATACATCATTAATTAAATTATTTATTTTGAAATTCAATTTGTCAGAAAGACACTTGTCTGTGTTTATTATATTTCATGTTGTTGATAACTAGTTTTATGTTTTATGTACTGTCAATTATAGAATTATGGAGTATGTAATTTGTCAATTGTTCAGTTCAGCAACAAAGTAAAGTACCGCCAAATTTGAAAATTATTTTTTTGAATTTAGCCACGAAATTTAATATTATTGAAATAACATTAGTCTTCGCAAGACAGAATGGAACTAGAGCTTGCTTAGTTTATCAATGTCAGTTTTCCATTGATATTTATTTATGCCTACCATTTCTAGGAATTCTCTTTTGTTTAATTTTTTTATGTCTCAATATCTTGTTTTCATTGAAATTTTTTAAATCAATGGTATTTATTAATTGTGTGATCTATTAATGCATATGTATTTGATTTCTGGATGTGTGACTTATAACAATTTTCAAATGGTATTTTATAAACTACATTTGAAGATTATTTATTTTTTATAAATTGGACACACATGAACTTAAGAAAAAATTAACAGAGAGAAAGAATTTATAGGATTTGATAACAAGTTAACATTAACAGAAATGAATTTAAGGCAACTACAAATTAATGCGGGAGTCAAAATGGTGACCTATTAACAACAAGTAAAGATGTATTAAGTCAATGGATGGAATACTTTGTAGCGTTTTTTTTATTTATTGTGTATATAAAATATTTCTATGGTACGTCCCTGTTGTTTCTACCAAGAAATCGATCAATAAAGTTAAATGTAGGTACGTTGTAAATATTTCAAGTTTTTTTTGACGAGATTTTTAAGTGCATATTAACGTTGGAAATATGTTTTGTTTTTATCTCTGTGTTGCAATGTTAGATAAAATAACACGTTTTTTGTCGCCAAAGAGGTATTATGTTAAAACGCAATAAACATGATTTCCCCTAATAATAAAGTTGTTTTTCGTTATTAGAATGAGAGTCAAAAAGAATATTTGTTTATTTAGGATACCAATACTGGCGTCTAAAAACGCAATAAAGGAATATTTAAAAGGTTTTTTGTCGATACGAGCGAGGGGATATTGTTTTGGTTCTTGAGTTTGTGGGGACAGGTTAGCTGCAAGACGGAAGGGAAATTTTTGGTTAGATTACAAGCGGGGCAGACATGTGATAAGGAGTGGAGATTTGAGTTCCAAACGGGGCAGACATGTGACAGTGAAGTCGAGATTTAGATTCCAAGCGGGGCAGACATGTGAGAATGGAGTCAAAGATTTGAAACGAGTCGACTTTTAAGTTCCAAGCGGGGCAGACATGTGGGAATGGAGTAAAAGATTTGAGAGGAAGTGATGAAGAACTTCTCGAAGAAAAAAGTCGACAAATTTTGTTAATTAGAGGAACAATTACCCTCTGTAATAAGACAGGTTTTGAAAAGGGTAACTACTAAATATTTAAAGAAGTATGATATAGGATGTCCCCGTAGTCGGCTCGATTCTTCCACCAAGTTCCTGTTCCTATCGTTTTGTCCTGGAGTGTAGAACTAGTTCCTGATGGTTGCTGCCTTCCAGTTTTGAAAGTTTTGTCCGAGTAGCTTCCCCAGAGATGCAAAGTTTCAAAGTGTTTGTATAAAAAAACATTAAGGTAACAATTCAATATATTAATTTTTCAAAGTAAAGACAGATATTTTTTGGCTAAAGTAATAATTGCTTTCATTCTTTGTCATCAAAATTAAATGTGATACATGACAGCAAGCTTAATTTGTTTTTTTGTTATGACAATTTTAATTTGATTATTATGTAGAAACGATATTTCATATATAAGGTTAAATTTATATGTTTTCATTAAAAAGGATCCTTAATTTTTGATAATCTAATTGGCCATAATATAGTAAACAAAGAACATGTAAGTTTTTGTTATTTGTATTATGTTATATATGTTTCTTTTATAATATGTATTTTTGATCTGTTTTGTTTGAGACAAAAAAAAATGTTTAATTTGTTTCTCTGATCTGTTTTGAGTTTTATTTGAAAAAGATATTTTTTTTTTCTATATTTTTGATGTTATACAATTATTTCCCTAGTTACAACTAGTGGTTGTAATAGGTATAATTGGGCACCTCAAGTGGCGCCCTATATTAAATTTCTTGAGGTGTTTTCGTTTATTTTCATTCTGTTTGTCCCAAGAGATTTGTATAAGTACCCCTTTATTTCTTTTCTTTGTAGTTGCCCCAATCTAACCCCCAATATCTTCAACTTATCCACGACCCAGCTCTCCAACAACCAACTGAGTGTCCGTATGCATTTGTTTCGATTATTTTGTTTGCTCAATCTTGTCCCCCATATTCTTACCCTGTGGTAAGCAAAATAGTCGTTACAATTTTGGCGCCCAACGTGGGGCATGAATTAAGTTGGCGCTAATTGTACCAGTTGTTACAATTTTAGCGCCCAACGTGTGTGGCTTGTCTTAGATTTGCGCCAATTGTACCTGTTGTTACAATTTTGGCTCCCAACGTGCGAGGCTTTTGAATATTCCTTAATTTTTAGATTTTTGACCATTTTCCTGAAGCCACATATCTTTTTCAGTTTCCCCAGTTCCCTGCCATTTATATGAAACTTTTTTCCTTTTGAATAGTGCCCCAAAGTGTCTCACAAACAGTAGTGTATTTGTATTACAATGTATGTATTTTGTACCAACATTATGTATTGTTGTTTTTTCAGGTAATGTACTTATAGTGACATATGTATTGTTCTTCATATATGTAATGGTAAATGAAAGCAAATATTTGAGTTAAATATTTAAATATGAGTTTTAATTGAAGTATTGATATTGAAAAGAATTTAAAAACAGTAGCAAATTATACAGTTACTGTTACATTTATTTTTTTATTGATTTGACAAATCTTACAGAATAATTGGTTTTTGTAATTTTTTATTTGTTCCGTCAATTTTGAGTAAATGTGTGTATTCGTTTGAGTGACTTTTGAGCTATGTAGTTGAGAAGTAGTATTATGCAGTTTGTCTTCTAATTAACCGTCTCTGAAGGTGTATTTAAATGCCAAGGGTTAATTAATGTTGTTGTACGAGGGGTAGTCATTGTGAGTCGTAGAGAAGATTCGACAAGTTTAGTCTCAGTAGTAGACTGTTTGTTTATTGCGTATCCTTTCTTGTATCTGAATGACCACAGGTGTAATATTTGTGATCAGGAGATGCTGTTTTAGTTTTGACTAGGAGCAGTCTCATTTAGTTTTCGGAACAAGAGTTGGTTTATTTTGGTATTATTTAGTGTAGCTCACTCAAAGGTCAAGTTTTCAATATTATTAGTATTTTGTCTTCCTTTGTATGTACGGTTTATGTTGTTTGTTAGTGTCCATGTTGTCCCATGTTGTTTGAAACTATTTTTTTAGTCCTTGTTAGTGGAAGTGTGAACTTTTAGGAGACAGGTTAAAGACCTCATTTTTGTTTACCAACTGATTACTAAGTCAAGAGCAGAAGTTGCAGCAAACTGATTGAGTTTTGGATTTCAGTACGCGGGAGTGCAAGTGAGACTTACTATCAGGTGATAAATGGAAACGGTTGTTTCTTAAAATTGTCATATTTTCTACCAGTTGTTGAAGTTGATTTCAGTTATTTTGTGTGTTTGCTTTCATCCAATTTTTGAAAAATGAAGTCTACCCAGGTTAATCATTTGAAATCAGGAGAGTTATCTTATGAGCTTTTCATAAGAGGTAAAAATGTCCCAAATAAGACAGTTGATGATAAGAGAAAGATGTTAAGAGCTTTGTTGGCCAAGGAGGCCACTTTGTCTTCAAGTTTAGTCGATTTGGTTAATAATGTAGTAGATCCTAAGGAAGAGTTAAATGAGATCATGTTGATTATAAAAGATTTATATAGTTGTGCTCAATCAATAAATGTAGAATCAACCAAAGCTGATTTTGCTAGATTTGAGACAAGGTCTTCACATTTAAATACTAGATTAGAAAATTTCCCTATGAATGATGTTGAGGAAGATGTTAAAAAGTTTGTCAATGAGTGTAAAGATGATTTGTTGTTGTTACAGGGTGA